CCCGCGCCGCCGCTCGCCCGTGGCAGGCCCGCTGTGTCTGTGGGCTGGCTGCGCACGTGGCTCGCTGTCCCGCCGCAAGGACCGCCCGCGAGAGCTGCTAGGGGCCGGCTCGTCCCCTCGGCAGAACGGCAGTGACCCGGGGCAGGGCGCCCTGTCCCGAAGCACCTCGTGGTGCACACGGTCCGAAGCGCCCTGGCCTCTCCTGCTCGGGGCGCACGCTGGAAAGCCTTTCCCCTCTGTGAGGAGGGGCCTGCCTATCCCAGAAGCGTTCCGAGGCTCTCCTGGGGATGCTTCCAGCCCCTCCTTCCCTGGCGCAGCGTGGACCTTCCTTTCTCTGACCATGCGAGGCACTGGCCCCTCAGCGCCGGGCAGACAGAGCTCGGCTTCCCTCTGAAACGACTCCAGGTCTGAGAAGACGTTTCCCGGGAAGCCCGCAGCCTGGTGCGTATCCCGCAGCAGCACGAGGCCGCTCTCGGCACTGCCGCGTCCTGGGCGCGCCTGCTTCTGCCTAAATCCAGGTCGGTGGCCTGGGGAGCTTGACGGCCTAGCGAGTGCTCAGTCTGCCCCCGGCTTGAGGAAGGCTGGGTTAGCGCAGAGCCCCCCACGTGTGCGCTGCGGAGGGGCAGGGGCAGGATGGGGGTGCGGGAAGGAGAGGCGCAGCGACAGGAAACTGGTGAACAGTGGCATCTTCCAGCACCCGGGAAGACAGGGCTCTGGCAACGTGATGGAGGAGCTGCTCTTCTGGGCGTCCAGAATGCAGGTTACCAGCACCGCAGACGGACACCACGTCTACCTCCACCCTCACCCGGGTGTGGGAGGCGGGAAGGAGCCCCACTGGCCACACCAAGAGGCCTTGTGTGTGTGGCCCTCGGGTCCATAAGCCTGGGTGCTCTAGGATGTCAGTGACCTTCACGGCAGTGAGCTCAGAATCACCAGCCCCTTCCTCCTACCTCCACCCAGGGACCCCTTGACTTGAAAACTTCTCATGTGGGCCTCCCCGAGCTTGGCCAGCTGGCTGTGAGGCTCCGGGGTTTCAGCCCAATCATCAAACGTAAATACAGAGCCCTGTGGGTCCTCTCAGTGAACACCACTCCCCAAAAAAGCAAGGCGGGGGCCCTGCCAATTTAGTTAGGAGGAAGACTGCAGTTTAGTTTAGCTTTGTTGTATCTGGCTTTTTGGTCACAGGCCCAGTTATCACCTTCCAGAATCTTCCTCCCCCTAAACTGCAGCTGAGTTCTGAGGTTCACAAGTTCTCAGGGAAACCAACACTGGCTATGAAGACCTGAAAGTTTTTTTTTTTTTCTTTCATTAAGTAATCTCTTTAATGTCTGTTTATGGTCAGGCGCAGTCTGTAGCTTCACATAGCAATGTCTGATTAAACGATGCCCAATCTATCCTGGGGCAATAGACAGATAATTGCAGTGCTTAATTTTCTCATTTGATGAATAATGAAAGCTTTGCTCATTTGGTGCATGTGGGAAAGACACAACTTTAATATATTTGGACTTGAAGATGAATTTTTAGTACTGATGTCTGGGCACAAGTGTAACACAGTCCGGGTTATCTCTTTCGCAATTACTATACACTTTTAAAAACAGAGCAAGCTTTTGGTGCCAACACAGCAGGGCAGAGTGTAGAAAGGAACTCTTCCCTGTCTTTTATGTGATATAATGCACATACAAGGATAAACAGATCTGCCCCCAGGTTTGTTCCCCAAATGCTAAAGAATACATCACACAAATAAAAACATTTTTCATCAAAGGTCTCTCACCACCTGCTAACATCTTAGACCAGCCACCAGGCATTTTTAAAGCAAGATATGAGGTTCTTCTTTCCTGTATTGTTTTTCTTCCTAACTTTCCTGGCTCCGAGCATGTGGAACAATGGAAAGGATCTGGCCCAGGAGGTGGGGAAGCTGTGTTCAGCAATGAATTCTGCTAAGACGTGGCCGTGCTACACACCAGAACTCGTTTTCCTTCTTTGTGTCTCAATTGCTTTATCTATAAATAGAAGAGTTATTCTCCTTCCTTTCTCCTCTACTCTTCTTTTCATGCTTCTTTCTTTTATTTTTTAGTATAGAAATTTCCATGTCAAACATAACCAAGGGTAAAGACAATGGAGAAATGAACCCCTTACCAACTTTAAGAATTATCAGCTTTTAAGCAAGACCTTTTTCATCTATACCTTCATTAACCCTGCCCTGGGCAAATGCCCAGACATCTGTAATTTTATTTGTACACACTTCGGAATTATATTGCCTATCTATTGCGAGTGTCTTGAAGTAGCAGTCATTACTAGGTCATGCTCCTGTGGGTTGACGGTTGGGCTGGGATCAGCTGGACGGCTCTTCTGTTGATTTTGTCTGTGCTCTCATGAGGATGTAGTCAGCTGGTGACTTGACCAGCACTGAGCTGTCTTGGACGGTCTCACCCACAGTCTGGCAGTTGGGAGAGGTGCCTCAGTTCTCCACATGGACTTGCAGCAGGCTAGCTTGGGCTTGCTCCCATGGTGGCTACATTCCAAGAGTTCCCAGAGGCAAGAGAAGGCAAGCCCCAATGTACAAGTGCTTTTCAAGCCTCTGCTTGCAGCATGTTTGCTAATGTCTCATTAGATAAAATAAGTCATTGCAGACAAACCCAGAATTAATGTAGGAGGGGATATGCAAATGACATAGAAGCAGAGAGTAATCAATCCATGGAGGCCATTACTGCAGCAATGTAGCACAAGATTATATTTCTGAAAGATAAGGAAGCGCTCCATCTTTTAACAGAACCACAATTCCATTATCATAGCCCACAAAATCAAACTGCAAATCTTTACTACTGACAATATTGCCTAGCATGTGTGAGGCCCTGGGTTCAATCCCCAGTACCAGAAAACAAACAAACAAAAAACTTTTGACAATATCCACTATTTAGTTTCTGCTTTTTTTTTTTTTTTTTTATAGTTGATAGTTTGAATTGAAAGCCAAATAAGCCTACACACTGCATTGGGATATGACCCTTACGTCCCTTTAGACCTTATGAAGATATAGTGGAAAAACATAACTCAGACTTAGTTTCTCCTGCTGTACTATCAAAACGCAGGTCACTTTAGATGTGTGGGGATTTCTTCCCAAGAGCAAGAAATCTGTTCTATAGGTGACATCAGCAGGGTGTCATCTAATCCAATGTAATGCTGTGACCTTCCACTTAGAAATAACCTCAGACCCCACAGGTGAAGGGCTCAGTCCCCAAAACCTCCAACTTTGGGGCAAAATGGTGGTGCTTTTCAGAGCTCATGGAAAGCTCCAAGCTAACCAACCAGCTGCACATCAGGCTTCCCACTGAATCTTCCCTCAGGTTCAATTAATTGGCTTCAGCATCTCACCCAACTCAGGGAAACACCTGGGTTTACCAGCTGATTGCGAAGCTATGAAGGACAGGGATGAAGAGAAGCAGAGGGCACGGCGCTTTCCTAATGCACCACCCTTCAGGAATCTCCATACGTTCAGCTGCCAGGAAGCCCTGGACACCCTGTCCCTTTGGGTTTTATAGAGGCGTCATTACATGCACGTGACTGATTAAATCGTTAGCCATCGATGGCTAGTTTGCCTTCAGCTTCCTATCCCCTGCCAGGATGGGGGTGGGGCTAAAGTCAGTGTCTGCTCTTTGGAGAAAGTCTCCCTGGGCTTCTGGAACAAGCCCATTCTTTCCAACAGGGAGGGCACCGGGCAGCAGCGGCGCACCTTTTCCAGAGTTCATGTGTCTCTTAGCAAGTACCAGCAGCAGTGCTCTCTGTTACCTCCCTCAGGCCCTTTCTAGCTCATGCTTTCCTGTGATTGGCTCAGAGGTAGACTTGTTACCCAGCAGGGGTTTTACCTTTGCACCAGATCCACTACTTCCAGAAGCTCCCTGGCCTTCTGCTGACTCAGGTGTTGCTGGGCTACTACCCTAGTCCCAGGAGGCCCTAGGAGGCCAGCCAGGCCTGGCCTAGGAAAATACACCATGGCTGGAGGTGGAGTGTGTCTGTCCTCGGGGTCCTACTGACTACTTCAAGGTGTTTACAACTGCAGGGGCAACCGATATATGGGATTGGTTCAATGGGATTGGTTCACACATGGAGTCAGGGTTACTTGACGTTCCTGTGATTGGTTCAGGGATGTGCGTCTGTGACTTGAAGGATGGGCTCGAGCTCATGCTTTCCTGTGATTGGCTCAGAGGTAGATACGTTACCCAGCAGCATTTCCGGTCGGTTTTTCTGGTGATGAGAACAGAACTGGCTGCTTTGCTCCACCTGGACCCTGCACAGTGTGGCCCTGGGAGTCATTGCTGACTCTGATGCCCATAGTCAACTCGGTGGCATCTGCCCAAGAGAGGGCTCTGCCCTTCATTCATCGCCCCTGGCCAGGACCCGTGGTAGGAGCCTCCTGCCAGTGTGGGTTCTGGAGTGGCGTTTGGTTCCGGGCCGCAGAGGTGTGTGGGGAATGACGCCCATCTTCACAGCATGCCCTTCACAGTGGGAGGGAGAGGTGGCCTGGCAGGCTGCTTATTTTGCAATTAGCAGAGGAAGAGCTCTTCAGAAACTAGGGCAGTTGTAACAGTTCCAAGGACTCCCTGGCTTTGGTCTGAGCAGTCACACTCCACTGTGATTTTATTGTCATTCTTGCTGTCACCTGATCTGCTCCTTCAGGCCCTCATCAACCTTTACCCTCTTAGATTCACCTTCTGTGCGGTGGTAAGACTTTGAAGTCTTTATAAGCGAGTTCAATTGAAATGCACAACTTTCTTCTATTCAACACAGGAATTATTCTCTAAAATAGCATCATACAGGTTTAGGTATCAACAACCACTTAGCTAGAGCAGTCTAGGTTTTAAGGGGTCTGTAAATAATACAATCATGATTCCTTTAAGACTTGAAAACATCAAATGCAAAATTAAATAGAAAAGTGAGGATTCAGAGAGAGAAGATCACAACAAATTACAAACGTTAAAGAGCTGTAAATGCCATGAAACATCTTAAAGTCACAAAACATAACATCTCCTATTAGTTAACCACCTGACATAATTATATAATACTTATTTTCTTACTTTTTTGGCAGCAGACTCCTTGGTCACTTCTGTATAAGGCAGTTGTCATATTTTCTATAAAGTCTATCAAATACAATTGATACTTTCATGTGGCGCCCAGGACAACAAACATTTTCTGTCAAGGATCAAACTAAATAATTCAGGCTTTTTGGCCCTACAGACCATATAGTCCGTATAGTCTCTGTCACACCGCTGAGGTCTCTTCTTGTAGAGCGAGGCACATGGACAGTATGTAGGTTAAATGAGGGGCATGCTCTTCCAGTGAGACTTTATGAAAACAGGTGACAGCCTGCTTGCTGTGGTGTGCTAGACAGCACAACACTGAGAGTAGCTTAAGCAGAAAACTTGGAAAGCTTTCATCTTCATAATTCATTCTTAGTAACTCAGGATGCTTCTTAGAGGTTTTTTCCCCACATGAACTATGCAGTTTCTATGCATTTCAACTTTTGTTCAGTTTCATTTTAAATTTTTTGAAGTGATGGTAACGCCTATTCAGCTTGTCACTGTTACCCGGACTTCACTAGTTTCTAGTGACTTTATGTGCAGGTTCAACTAGAATCATCATATATCATTGAGACAAGATGTAACTGAAGCACTAAAATGTAATCTGGTGTGAGTCGATGTATAAAAAATGCAACTTCGCACACAGAGGTCCTCACTGTTTTTAGTGGTGCTACAAGTTTAAGCATCCACGTGGAAATTTTTGCAATTCCTACCGGCAGACCTAGGCTGGGGGAAGTTTGGCTAGGAGGAGGTAGAGGTCACTGTGGACACTGCCTCATCTGGCCTGAGGACTTCTACAGGAAGTGTCACCACCCTGCTCAGGGCTCCAAAGCCTCAGCCCTTGGCCCTGCCCGCCAGCCCTGAGCGTCTCGCTTGTCCCGAGCTGTCTGGGCAGGCCTTCTCTTCTGCTCGCCTGGAGGGAACCATGGAAGCCCCAGTGCCAGCTTCCTGTCCCCTCCTTCTCCTCCTCTCAGTGTGCGTGGGGACGGGGAGAGACCCAGAGCTACCAGCCCTCAGAAACTGCCAGTCGAAGTTTCCGGTCCTCTCTTGTGATTTTCACAAGGCCAGGTGGTCCAGTGGACCTCACCTGGGCGAGGGGTCGTTATCATCTCCAGCTGGAGAAGCCCAGGTCAGCAACAGTTAGGAGACCAGTTACTGCCAACAACCCGGTGGGAAGAACAGAGTCCACGTCATCACACTGGCTTGCTAGCAAACCCCAGGCGCCCTTCTGCCTTGAACTGTAGGAGCAAACCCCAGGCGCCCTTCTGCCTTGAACTGTAGGAGCTTTATCCACCTTAGTGAGGTGACAGAGAGGAGACAGGATCATAAGCAAGCAACAGGCAC